TTTTTTTTTTTGTCAATTCTATTTATTGGAAATAAATCAGCAAAATTTTTACCATAACTAAACTATGAAGGAAGCACATGTTGTGTAACTTTCTAAAACAATGATTACATCAACTATACCTATTAAATTCTGTTATCTAAAATATTTTTTTTTGTTGTTGTCAAAGAGACAACAGTTTTGTAGTGTGGAGTTTCATCACGATAAAGAACCTAAAACTATAATTAATTTTGTTTTTATTACTACTACTTTTTGTTTCAGGCCAAAAATAATTAGACATTTATTTTTCACTGACTATACAGCACATTATACAAAGATTCAAAACATTAAAGAAGAACTTCTTTTGTGAAAATATACATCAATTTTTACTGTATGATATGGGATCATCTTCGGAACAGTCACCAACAACGGTACCAATATTGGAAGACTCATCGGATTTTGGTCAACAAAGAAAACTGTCAAGCAAGATTTTTGCGAAATTTTTTTGTAAAATTAATTTCATAGCCAACTAACTAATCAACCATTTATTTCTTGTAACACTGTAACAGCTTTCTAACCTCTGCATAATTGACAGCTTCTAGAAGTAACAAATTTGAAAAAATGTAACAATATTAACAAATACGTAAGTCAGCAGTTTCAGAATCTCGATCAGCAATAGAAACAACGGAATCTTGCCGGGTCTGTGGAGACGGTCACGCCCGTATGCACTATGGGGTTCTTACCTGTTTTGGATGTAAAGGTTTTTTTCGAAGAACGTAAGTGAACTAATTTATTTGCTCTTGCAGAATCTCAAATTTACCACAGAACACTGCTGATACTTTCACTTAATAAGCAATCACCACTGGCAAAAATAAAAAAGATTTAATTGCTGATTAATGCCTATCAGTAAAAAAATAAAAGAAAATAAAAAGACGCCTTTTTCAATACAATTATTTGGAATTAAATTTTCATTTTAAAGAAAGATATGGCAATTTAAAAAGCCTGATATTTAAAAATCTTGAATTGTGCTTCAAAACAATTGGAAAAAACATTACATGAATCATTTGTAATTTCTGTAATTGAAATTGATAATAGATTAGACAGTGCTTGATAACAAATCAGTAATATAAAAGTAAAGATTGATTAAGGCGATATTTGGGAATGACATCTACAGTTTATTATCTCTATAAAGAAATATTATAAATGATGGATTCCACTGTATAACTATGGATGTGTTCATGTTACAGGCTGAAACGAGCAACAGAATACAGCTGTAAACATAATGGCAATTGTATAGTTGATCGACGTTAGTTTTTCATCAATAGTAATTCAATTTTTTTTTACACTATTCAACTATCAAAGTTAAAATTTCAGTAACTACTCCTATCGCCCTGTTCATACTTGGTTTTTAGATGAAAGAAACTCGTGTCGTTACTGTCGGTTCAAACGTTGTTTAGAAGTTGGTATGGATCCCAAAGGTTGGTGTACTCCACAGCAAAAATTTTAAGCTAGAACTTATTTCCAAAAAAATGTCATATACCATAATGATTTGATGTCCTTCCACAAAAAAAATTCTGTAAAAATTTAAAAAGCATTTCTTGACGTACACTTAAGGAGTAAATCAGTCGTGCAGTATCATCTCAGACAAATCCAAAAAAAAAAATTGTTGTTACGACTTCTCTTTTATTTAAAAAGAAAAGTATTCATTTTGTAGCGGTGCGACCAGATCGAGATGCTACTGGTAGGCATTATCAGGCCAGAGTAAGACGCTCAAAATTGATTGGTGATGATGAGAATTACGATCTTCCCGTTGGCGATGACTGGTGTCGAAAATTACCAGTTGAAATGCGAACCACTTTAATGCAACTGATGAACATAGAACTTATTGTTAGTGATTTTTACCATTGT